TGACAGCAGTGGGAGCCAATGGCCGAGGCTCTCATGCACTTCGCTGGATTACGCATGTAAATATTGGGGTGCGCTGCACACAGAAGGATTTTTACCTTCCTGCGTAGAATGCAGGAAGGTAAAAAAAACTTCAGCCTTTACAACCACTTTAAAGTGTCACCTATGGTGTATTTTTGGCACCACAGTTTTTTGCAGCTCCACTGGCATGCACAATTTTAAGACTTGATATGTTTGGTATCTATTTACTTAATGATACCCTACCTTTTATATTTTACAAGAAAAATTGGTATTATATTGTGTTTGTTTGCACTAAAATTAATTTGTATTTTTCCTGAAAATACACGTTTGGTAAATAACTGCAAATATTATGCAGCATAAAAAAAAGCAACTACCACCATTTTATTCTCTAGGGTCTCTGTTTTCAGTAAATACTGTTGGAGGGATTTCCAATAATTTCTAGCAAAAAAATGCAGATTGTAACGCAAAAAGGTTAAGAAATTGCCCTGGAAGACAAATGGTAACTGTTACAAAAGTGTTAGTAGCTTTTAGAAGGATTAGAACCCCTGTCATGTTTTTATTGCTCTCTGTGCTCCCATTAAGGAGATTCACCCTCACTATTTTTTCCCAGTGACCAAAAGAAAACCCCACATTTATAGAGGTCACCAGAACAGGAGTAGAGGGGAAATCTTCCAATGGAGACACTAGTTTTGATCACTACTACGGATTTCCTCATACTTCCTGTTGTGGGGACAGGAAGTAAAGGGAATTCTCCCTAATGGGACACAGATGGTAAAAAAAACCATGACATTGGATTATAACCCTCCCTTAGGCTGGGTTCACACTGATGCAGTCGCATCAGAATCGCACCCCGTATATGCGAACTGCTGCGGGTGTGTATGTTAAAGTTGACATCACCCCGGAAACGGTCCGGAAAACGCAGTGCGATGTGCTGAATTGGATCGCATTGGTGTGAATACCCATGCGATACGATTCTAGTGCGGACCCAAAAAAAACGAGCCTGCACCTTTCTGATGCGGTGCGATTTGAGCCATACATAATGTATGACTCAAATCTCACCACACACAATTTGCATGTGATTTGCACAGGAATGCGGTGCGGTTCCTGTAGGAATCACATGCGATGTACCGCATTGCATGAGTGTGAACCTAACCTCCGTCTATCCAATAAAAAAAGACGTTTTGCTTTCACTTCAGCCTAAACACTTAATTCCACGTTTAAAATAATTGGTTTGGGCAAAGCGGGCCCCAGTGAACCATTTACTGCACTGACAGGTGCTTGTGCTGTGCATCGTACATTAACTGTATCTAGCCTCAGCTACAGTGCCTTGAAAAAGTATTCATAGCCCTTGAAATTTTCCACATTTTGTCATGTTACAACAAAAACATAAATGTTATTTTATTGGGATTTTATGTGATAGACCGCCACAAAGTAGCACATAATTGTGAAGTGGAAGAAAAATTATAAATGGTTTTCAAAAATGTTTAAAAATAAATATCTGAAAAGTGTGACTTGTATTTGTATTCAGCCCCCTTTAATCTGATACCCCTAACTACAATCTAGTGGAACCAATTACCTTCAGATGTCACCTAATTAGTAAATAGAGTCCACCTGTATGTAGTTTAATCTCAGTATAAATACAGCTACTCTGTGAAGCCCTCAGAGGTTTGTTAGAAAACATTAATGAACAAACAGCATCATGAAGGCCAAGGAACAAACCAGACAGGTCAGGGATAAAGCTGTGGAGAAGTTTAAAGCAGGGTTATGTTATAAAAAAATATCCCAAGCTTTGAACATCTCATGGATGTTCAATCCATCATCCAAAAATGGAAAGAGTATGGCACAACTGCAAACCTACCAAGACATGACCATCCACCTATACTGACAGGCCGGGCAAGGAGAGCATTAATCAGAGAAGCAGCCAAGAGGCCCATGGTAACTCTGGAGGAGCTGCAGAGATCCACAGCTCAGGTGCGAGAATCTGTCCACAGGACAACTATTAGTTGTGCACTCCACAAATCTGGCCTTAATGGAATGGAGTGGTAAGAAGAAAGTCATTGTTGGAAGAAAGCCATGAGAAGTCCTGTTTGCAGTTTGCGAGAAGCCATGTGGGGGACACAGGAAACGTGGAAGAAGGTGCTCTGGTCAGATGAGACCAAAACTGAACTTTTTGGCCTAAAAGCAAAACACTATGTGTGGCGGAAAACTAACACTGCACATCACCCTGAACACACCATCCCCACCGTGAAACGTGGTGGCAGCGTCACGTGGGGATTCTTTTCTTCAGCAGGGACAGGGAAGCTGGTCAGAGTTGATGGGAAGATGGATGGAGCCAAATACAGGTCAATCTTAGAAGAAAACCTGTTAAGAGTCTGCAAAAGACTTGAGACTGGACGGAGGTTCCCCTTCCAGCAGGACAACAACCCGAAACATACAGCCAGAGCTACAATGGAATGGTTTAGATCAAAGCATATTCATGTGTTAGAATGGCCCAGTCACAGTCCAATTGAGAATCTGTGGCAAGACTTAAACATTGCTGTTCATAGACGCTCTCCATCCAATCTGACAGAGCTTGAGATATTTTGCAAAGAAGAATGGGCAGAAATATCTCTCTCTATTTTGAAAACCATTTATCATTTTCCTTTCACTTCACAATTATGTGCCACTTTGTGTTGGTCTATCACATGAAATCCCAATAAAATACATTTACGTTTTTGGTTGTAACATGACAAAATTTGGAAAATTTCAAGGGGTATGAATACTTTTTCAAGGCACTGTACATACAGTATGCAGCGCTGTCTTCCTGCTGTAGGACAGAGACTTCCCATTCTGCTCCCGAAACCAGTTAGAGACGCTCAGTGCTGCTCAGCCTTTCACAGGGAGCTGTTTCTTCTATGAACTTACATTTACCTTCAGCAAGATTTTCCAAGAATCCCCCTGTGCAATTCCATATCCTCCATATTCCCATCCGCCTAGACGGAAGGGGGCGGATTGTTTCTTTTTAGTGGACAGGATCGGATTGGAGATAGAGGGCTGTAAACGAACACAAGCCTGTTTATACCCGCCAGTCCCTAGGCATACATGGACCATGTGATCTGGTCCACCTGAAGAACTGACAGGCATACCTGATCGGATCGTCTTTGTGAACGGGGCATTAGATGTAGCAGCAACATGAAAATAATTGCAGCGCGCAAAAAATGCCAGTGTTGGTGGACTTTTGTTCTCTTCTCATCCTGTATATGTCTATGAGAACTCTGCAGCAGCTAAAGCACGTCAAATTCAGATCAACTGCTTGTGTAATGAATTCTCAATGCACTTGATTGCCTCTCAAACTAAATTCAAAAACTTACTGCTCTTCTTCAGCAAAGCCCACTGACACAAGACCTTAAATTGGTTGAAAGAGAGGTCTTTCTGCCCTAGTTGTGATGACCGCATGATTACTCATTGAACAGTTATGCAGAGTATGTTGGTGCTTTATATATCCACTCAAAGTTAATAATACGTTAGGAACTTTTCCTGTAGTAACATAACATAAACAGTAGAGTGCAATTGTTACCTGGGAATTGTGCATGTTAATGCCTACTAAAAGTGTTGAATCTGTTCTTGCGTTAGGCTAAGTCTAGATGTGCAGATTTTGCTGCCCTTTTGAAAAACGTTCTGTGGTGGATTGCTTTTCTGAGGCATTTGACAGGCAGAGAGGAGGTGATCTATTTCAACCCTCTAAATACTTCACCTCATTCACTTGAATGGGTCGTATGTGATAGCACTAGCTGCAAAACGAGACAGTGGGCGATCATTTTTGCAGCATCATGTACAACTTGTCTGGTTTTCTTTACAGCCCAAGGAGGGTTGTAAAACTGCCCCCTCCTCCACCCTATCCTGACCGCACGTATAAATGAGCCCTTAAGCTGCCATAAACTATACAATCTGATTTCAATCTACAAACAACTGTGTAATGTTAAGGCCCGTGGGACTTGATGGAAATTGATTGGATTGCATAGTAATAGTTTGTCCTTTTATTACATAGTTTTTGTAAATTTAAATGATCACAGAGAAGGTAAAGTCAGATTATAGTGTGTAAGGCCACCCTTAGAGCTCTCTGAAGAGCGTGAAATAGGGACTTTGCAAACCTTTATTTATTTCAGGGACTTATATAGTGCTGTCAATTTACACAGCGCTTTACATATATATTGTACATTCACATCACTCCCTAACCCTCAAGGAGCGTACAATCTAAGGTCCCTAACTTACATTCATACATACACATACTAGGGACAATTTAGACAGTAGCCAATTAACCTACCAGCATGTCTTTAGAATGTGGGAGGAAACCGGAGTACCCGGAGGAAACCCATGCAGGCAGTGGGAGAACATGCAAACTCCAGGCAGGAGGTGCTGTGGCTGGGATTCGAACCAACGACCCTATTACTGCCGGGCGGAAGTGCTAACCACTTAGCCACTGTACTGCCCACATAGATTTTTACCAAGTACTTGCCCCCTTCTCTAAGATCTGATATTTCTTGAGCCTAAATGGGGGATATATATATTATATATATATATATATATATATATATATACACACACACCACACACACGCTGATTTTGAATGTTTGCCCACTCACAAAGAAATGGTCAGTCAAAAAATCGAATGGTAGGTGTATTGTAAGACTGAGAGACGGAATAGCAACAAAAAATTCAAAAGAAAAAATGTATGTCTAACAAATGATGCACTGATTTGCATGTTCATGAGGGAAATAGGTATTTGATCCCCTTCACAAAACATGACTTAGTACTTGGTGGCAAATCCCTTGTTGGCAATCACAGAGGTCAGACGTTTCCTGTAGTTGGCCACCAGGTTTGCACACATCTCAGGAGGGAGTTTGGCCCACTCTTCTTGGCAGATCCTCTCCAAGTCCTAAAGGTTTGGTGGCTGACGTTTGGCAACTCGAACATTTAGCTTCGTCCACAGATTTTTGTTACCTGCTTCTTCAAACATTTGTGAAAGAATGGGTCACTCTCAGCAGCTCAGTAAATTCAAGCGTGGTACCTTGATAGGTTGGCACCTGTGCAATAAGTCCATCCGTGACATTTCCTGGCTACTAAATATTCTACGGTCAACTGTTAGTGGTATTATAACAAAGTGGAAGCAACTGGGAACAACAGCAATTCAGCCACAAAGTGGTAGGCCACGTAAAATGACAGAGTGGGGTCAGCGCATGCTGAAGCGCACAGTGCGCAAAAGTTGCCAGATGTCTGCAGAGTCAATAGCTAAAGACTTCCAAACTTGGTGTGGCCTTCAGATTAGCACAACAGCAGTGTGTAGAGAGCTTCATGGAATGGATTTCCATGGCCGAGCAGCTGCATCCAAGCCTTATATCGCCAAGTGCAATGCAAAGCATTGGATGCTGTGGTGTAAAGCTCGCCGCCACTGGACTCTAAAGCAGCGGAGACGTGTTCTATGGAGTGACCAATCACGCTTCTCTGTCTGGCAATCTGATGGACGTGTCTGAGTTTGGCGGTTGCCAGAAGAACGGTACTTGCCTTCCTGCATTGTGCCAAGTGTAAAGTTTGGTGGAGGGGGAATTATGGTGTGGGGTTGTTTTTCAGGGGTTGGGCTTGGCCCCTCAGGTCCAGTGAAGGGAACTCTTAAGGCATCAGCATACCAAGACATTTTGGACAATTTCATGCTCCCAACTTTGTGGGAAGAGTTTAGGGATGGCCCCTTCCTGTTCCAACATGACTGCGCACCAGTGCACAAAGCAAGGTCCATAAAGACATGGATGAGCGAGAGTTTGGGGTGGAGGAACATGACTGGCCTGCACAGAGTCCTGACCTCAACCCCATAGAACACCTTTGGGATGAATCGGAGCAGAGACTGTGAGCCAGGCCTTCTCATCCGACATCAGTGCCTGACCTCACAAATGCTCTTCTGGAAGAATGGTCAAACATCCCCATAGATAGCCTCCTAAACCTTGTGGACAGCCTTCCCAGAAGAGTTGAAGCTGTTATAGCTGCAAAGGGTGGGCCAACTCAATATTGAACCCTACGGACTAGAGGCAGGCGTCCCAATACTTTTGGCAAGTGTGTGTGTGTGTGTGTGTGTATATATATACACACACAGTATATAATGTCCACACATAAACAATCAAGTAACACACATAAAATGAAATAACCCATGTGTCCATGAACAGTTAATAATTCAGATATGCTTCAGTGATCCAAAACATTAATTTAGTGGGGAGAAGGCTAATTACAGTCACCCAATAACGCAAAATGTTAGTAAAATTTAGTAAAAAATACAAGCAAGTTAATTTTATTGCACAAAAAAGCAAATTACCCTGTTTATTTGTGAAATATAAAAAGATGAGGTTGCAGCGAGTAAATAGATATCCAACTTGTCAAACCTGAAATTTGTGTGTGCTCGAGAAATGGCGACGAACTTCAATACCCTGTATTTTCTATAGGTCGACACATTTAAAGTTCCTTATAGGTCAGTAGTTTAGCATTACGGAGGATGTCTGGTGCTAGAATGGTTGCTCTCATTCTGGTGTGCGCAGTAATATATGACGTGTATAGCAATTGACGGTTTCATGCGTAGGCGCCCCAGCGTGTGCTTTTACGTTTGTACATGCGTATATGTGGGTGTCTCAATATTTTTTTGTGGGGGATGGTATGTGCTTGGGTGTAACTTTAATTTTTTTACAATAAAAAAAAAACACTTTTTTTTTTTTCATCACATAGGGGACAAAGTCCCCTATATGATGATTTTTTGGTGACAGGTTCTCTTTGGGACATCCAAGGTCTAAAAGACCCTGCATGTCTTCCCTCTGCTGTACTGAATGTAAAGTGGTGCACATCACACCACGTTACATTCTTTCCCGGAGATTGCATTACAATCTCTCAACGGGGACACGGGCACAAGAAGGGGAGGTGAGCGGACTTGTCCGCTCTTCTCCCTCCTCTCTGACGGTGAGCCAGGCCCACAGATGGGCAAGCAAAGCCTGGGAAACCTTAAGGGGGCGCGGAGAGGCTGGCACTGTGTGTAAGCAATCGGCGGCAGCGCTGTCGCCGATTGCTTCACCTGACAGGTAAGCCCTGCTGCTTAGCAGGGCTAAAAGTAGAAAGAAACTACCTGCCTGGCACCCGGAACTACATGTCCCAGGCGTTGGGCGATAGGAATCCAACATCCCTGTAGTCAAGGGGACTCAAAGCTGCTGCAAGCTACCACTTTTCTAAAGCCTGTTATGGTTCCGGAGAGAACAAAATCATTCATCTGCCATTTTTGTAGTATTTTAGAGAAGGAAATTGGGCTCAGTTTGTTATCCTGCAATCAAGTTGGGCATCCCATAACCCCTTTACTTTATCTAAGGTAAATTCCCTGATAAAACTAACAAAATCAAGCCCAAGGACTGGCTGTGCAGGGAGTAAAGTGGGACCCAAAACCAGCAGCTCTCAAGGGGGTAACGCTACATTTTTAAAGCATCCTCATTTTACAATATTATTCCCAAGTTCCTAAAACTTTTGCACAGTACTATATGGGGTCTGTTTGTATCATTTTGTTAGGAACCCGGGTCCGTGGATCCAGCTGGTCTGTGAGGGATTGCTGACCTGATAATAAACATGGAAGTGTCTCTTGAAGTTCTGCTGTCTACTAGCATCAAGAGGAAGAAGCCCTGCGCAAGTCTTTGCTGGTTGGGGCAGGTCAGTACACCATACGTTTTATATTTAGGCTATTAGATTTCTATTGTGATCATCATTTTTAGTTTTTCATTTTATTGTCTTAGGAAAAGGAAGCTGTTTTCCTGGTGGATGAGAATCGTATCCGTGAGGTCAGCCTGCGCTCGGGCAATGTGAAGAAGCCATTACTTAAAAAAAGCAGAATTGTGACCCTTGCTACATCTGCTAATGTATAAAGGACCTTCCTTCTGAGGAGTACAGACTAGCAGGTTGATTTACTAAAACTGGAGGGTGCAAAATCTGGTGCAGCTCTGCGTAGAAAGTAGGGATGTATACCGGCGGGTGAAATGCATTGGCAGAAAATAGTGTTATCAGCATTTTGCTGATAGGAAAAAAGGTGCCTATAATGGCTGCCAAAAACGCACGACTTTGCTGTGAATTTACACACAATTTTGCGTTTAAAAAAGTCCTTGACCCTTTCTAAAAATGCAGCAGCTCAAAAAGGCAAAGATATGACCGTGTCCCATAGGAAACCATGTTAAATGGACTGTAGTGTGTATCTGCTAAAAAACGCATTGGTGTGAACCAGGCCTTAATGAGAGGGTCCGTTTTTGGTGTGGTGTTTTTTTTTTTTTTTTGCCAAATTTGCCAAAAATGCAGCAAGCAGGATTTTTAACATTGCAGGGAAGCACAACGGACCACTGTGAAGATTTACATTGAATGTAAAGGAATGCATTTTTCTTGCGCTTTTTTTGTACAAAAACAAAAACTGCTCAGTGTGAAAGCAGCCTATTGGCCGAAAAGGTGCTGAAAATAAATTCATATTCATTTTAAATTCATGATTTTAATTAAAAAGTTGAATATAATACAGCTATATATAATAAAAAATATATATATATATTTTTAAAAAACTGTCCATTTCGGTTTTCGGTCAAACGCATCCTGAATATTTGGTTTCGTTCAAGAATTTTCATTTTGGTGCACCACTAATGGAAACCAATCATCATCCAGGTTTTATTGTCAAAGCTTAATTGAACAAACTGAAGTTAGAAGCTGATTGGCTGCTGTGAATATCTGCTCCAGTTTTAGTAAATCTACCCCTATGTTTTGTATTAATGCAATGACTTATCCTTTGTCAAGCATGCACATTGTGTTGCTCTGCAGTGCAGGTGCTTTGCCCACTACTGTAAAAATGTATTGGATGTATTTAAATTGAATGGCACCACAACACAGCACATCATGGTTTGCATGTTGCATGCTTTACCACAACATGAACATAAGAATCCAGCTTTAAAAAAAAAAAATAAAATGTCCTTATTGAGAACAAAGATTAGCACTGTGACCCTTGCCTCATCTGCTAATGGTACAAAGGACCCTTCTTTTGATAGGTTGGGGCTATGGGTTGCATTAATGCAATGACTTTTCATTTGCTAAAGTGTGTGTTGTGGTGCACTGCAGTACCTGTGCTTTACCACTACTGTAATAATGCATTGGGGTGCTATTGAAAGGAATGGTGCCACAACACAGCTCACCATGGTTTTCACGTTGCTTGCTTTACCGTAACACGAAAGTGTGAATCCAGCTTAAAAAAAAAAAAATGTTCTTATTGAGAACAAAAATCACAGGGTTACAGTCTGTGCTGAAATTCCCTCTATTTACTAACAAAATCTGCCCACAACTGATGTTTTGGCTTCTTATATACAATGGGGCAAATAATTATTTGATCCCCTGCAGATTTTGTAAGTTTGCCCACTTACAAAGAAATGAAGGCTCTAATTTTTATCATAGGTGTATTTTAAATGACAGTGATAGAATATCAACCAAAAATCTAGAAAAAACACATGATACAAATGTTATAAATTGAGTTGCAGTTCAGTGAGTAAAATAAATATTTGATCCTCTACCAACCAACAGTAATTCTGACTCGTTTTGTGTATAAAAGACACCTGTCCACAGAATCGCTTTCTTCCATTCAAATCGCCATCGTGGGCAAATGACCAAAGAGCTGTCAAAGGATGTTCGGGTCAAGATTGTAGACCTGCACAAGGATGGAATGGACTACAAGACCATTAGCAAGAAGCTTGGTGAGAAGGGACAGCTATTGGAGCATTTATTTGCAAATGGAAAAATACAAATAACCATCGCCCTCAGTCTGAAGCTTCAGGCAAGATTTCACCTCATGAGGTAAGGATGATCATGAGAAAAGTAAAGGATCAGCCCAGAACTTGTGAATGATCTCAAGGCAGTTGGGACCGCAGTCACCAAACAAACCATTGGTAACACAATACGCCGCCATGGATTGAAATCCTAGGCACCCTCAAGGTCCCTCTCCTTAAGAAGGCACATGTCTGAAGTTTGCCAATGAACATCTAAATGATTCAGAGAAGGATTGGGAGAAAGTGCTGTGGTCAGATGAGACCAAAATTGAGCTCTTTGGCATTAACTCGGCTTGCCATGTTTGGAGGAAGGAAAATGCTGACTCTGACTCGAAGAAAACCATCTCTACAGTCAAACACAGAGGTGGAAACATTACGCTTTGGGGCTGTTTCTCTGCTAAAGGTACAGGCCAACTTTGCTGCATTGAGAGGCCATGTATTGTAAACTTTTGGATGAGAACTTTCTTCCCTCATCCAGAACACTGAAGTTGGGTCATGGACGGGTGTTCCAGCATGACAATGACCCAAAACATACTGCCAAGGCAACAAATGACTGGTTAAGGAAGAAGCACATTAAGGAGAGTGGTCTAGCCAGTCTCCAGACCTTAATCCTATAGAAAATGTGTGGAAGGAGCTGAAACTTTGAGTTGCCAAGCGACAGCCAAGAAACCTTAAAGCAGAGTTCCAACCAAAAGGAGAAGTTCCACTTTAAGTCTTTGTTCCCTGCTCCCCATTAAGGATTGGCAGGGAGCGGGGGGGGGGGGGGGGGGTTAAAGGCCCCCCCCCCCCCTCCCTGTAGTCTTCTGAGAAACGTGACAGGTCCCAGAAAACTACAGAATCATACATGAAGCGCAAGTGGAGATCCAGCTGAAAAAAAATAAAGTCAGCAGTTACAAAAACTGTAGCTGCTGACTTTTAAAACACAGTCGCTTACCTGTCCCTTGGACCAGCAGTGTCCTCACCATGGCTGGTTTCACCGGCTGTCTACTCTCCCTGGCGCCAGCATCTTCAGTGTGAGCACCAGGCTATGACAGCTTGTGGCTTCACAGCTTGGTGCCCACTGCGCATGCGTGAGTCGCGGTGCACATCCTGATTGGTCCGGCAGTCTTCTGGGACCTGTGAATGTTCCTAGGAGACTTCGGGAAGAAGGAGGGGGCCAAACGTCCGACTCACTTCGCCGTGGTGAACTGAGCCGGAAGTGGGAGCGGGTACTTGTCAAAACCAGGTACCCGCTCCCGCCTCCCCGCCAAAAGGTGCCAAATGCGGCAGTGGAGGGGGAAGGAGGCAAACAAGCGGAGCTTCCACTTCTGGATGGAACTCCACTTTAATACAGGAAGCTTCTGCACAAAGGCATTACTTTACATTGGATTACTGTACATAGCTGGAAATAATCAAAGCACACAAAAATTCAAGTATGAATAGAGATGTCTTTTCTATTTAGGCAATTTTTCCTTATCCCTTAGTTCTGCTTTAACCTGACAGGGTCACTTTACTATATTACCATGTTCATCTATATGTTCTGCTGAAATAGTCATATGTATCATCAGAAGTAAAAAAAATTAATATATTACTGCATTGCCCTTTATTGTTTTTAAGTTTAAGTAAACCCTAACAATGAACTTCCCTTATTGGTTGTTTTTGGTCCTATTAAAATTATAAACTTTTTGCTGTATCCATTCAATAAGTGTAAAATCATCCTGCCAGAAATCTTGTGCGCTAAAAACTTCTTGTGCTCTGTGGTGCTGTTACATGTTCCTAGCTTTCAGAGGACTACAAAACCCCTTCCCTCCAGGATATGGATATGTCCTCAGGTGAAAACACTGCTTTTCCATGGATACAGTAGGGTGCGTGAGCGTTGTTACCCTAGGGCCGGAAGTGTTTTCTAGGATCCTTGGTGACAATAAAGGGAAAAAGCCTAAAAAACTACTGTAGACACCACATTTAGGTTGGTAGGCTGCAATATATTACATTTTTGTGTTTGGTTTTAGATAGGCTTTAAGGATTCACCTTTCTTCATCCCACAGGAGCCTGGCTGGCTGCTTTGAATGTCTCTGGGGAACTATCACTATGGAGTAAGGACCTGGACTGTTGCTCACAGTTCCAGCTATTGCAGACATCTCCCAGCTGATTTCACTTGCACAAGGTAAGCGGATCCCAAGAAATTAGACATCATGCTTAGCTAAATGAAAAATAGTATTTTGGATACCTCCGTAAATGAAGCATTCTCACATTTGTACTTTAAAGTGCGTACTCCTTGCTCAACTCATCATTCAGTTTACTGTGTGTCAGAGAACATCAAGTATTGTTTGGAAACTTTGTGGCCTTGTACAACTGTTTTCTAAATTGTGAAATAGATAATAGGGGCCAGTGATAACAATTTTCTATAGAGTGAATAATTGTTAAAACCTTTTCGTTTTTTTGCCAAGTGTCCCACTGCAGAGATTCCATTTCACTTCCTGTATTGCAGACACAATAGGAAGTGAGAGTAAATCTCGTCAGTGAGGTGTAATATTATCTTAGAGGTTGTTTACATGTGCTTCAAAATTTGGCTTCGGACAAGCTTTTTTTAAAGCGCTCTGAATGTCAATGAAAGCCCCTGTAACTAAATAAAATGGTTAGCTTTCAGTCCTGTTTACATGTTGCTTTTGCTTGGCTTAAAAAATGATACCCCATGTCGCTTTAATAGTGCTTCAAAGCGTCTCTCAAGTCTCCAGAGAAGTCTATGACAAAGCTTGTGTGCAGCACCTGCAGCTTTTGAGAGGCTTTTATTCAGCTTTGCTTCAATTTGAGAAATCCCAGGAAGCACTGTAAAACCAAAAAGCAAACCTTTCCATCCCGATTTAAAACTAATAGAGCCAGTGTGGACTTTTAATTTCAAAATATGTGTACTACTGAGGAAAATAATATATTGCAAATTAATTCAATCTCTCTCCCTCTCTCTCTCTCTCTCTCTCTCTCTCTATATATATATATATATATATATATATATATATATATATATATATATATATATATATATATATATATATATATATATATATAAATGTCTGTATGTGTACAATATATATTTCTAGCTCATACACTATTAGCGCACATCAGTGAAGGAGAAAAATCACTTATTTACAAAATTTTATAACAAAAACTTAAGAAAAAACGTTTATTTGTTTCAAAATTTTCTGTGGTTTTTGGTTTGTTTAGGAAAAATAAAAAACCCAGAGGTGAATAAATACCACCAAAATAAAGCTCTATCTGTCACAAAAAAATGCTAAAAATTTCATATGGGTACAGTGTTGCATGACAGCGCAATTGTCATTCAAAGTGTGACAGCGCTGAGAGCTGGAAATTGGCCTGGACAGGAAGGGGATATAAGTGCCCTGTAGGTTAGTGGTTAACTACTTCCCCTCTGCCCTATAGCAGAAATACTGCTACAGGGCGGCACAGGTGCGCAAAGTCACTTATATATACATGATTTTGCAGTTCTGGGTAGGGAGAGCATGCGCTCTACCCGCGCTGCCATTCGTGGTCTCTGCTGTCAATCACTGGGTCCCAGACTGTGATTATTCACCTGCACCTGGTGATCGCCAAGTATCTCCGTATCTCCGACGGAGGAGAGACCTGTATGTAAACAATACAGATCTCTCCCCTGTCAACTCCTGCACACTGATTTGTATGGCTCTGCATAGCAGAGTCATACAAAGCAGTGTGCTTACAGTGAAACACAGACAGCCCATGTAGTAAAACAGCACACAGTTAACCCTTTGATCGCCCCACATGTTAACCCCTCCCTGCCCAGTGTTTTTTATTAGCATTGATCACTGTATTGGTATCACTGTAGATGTCAGTGACACCAAGTCAGTTCCCCTCAGTGTCAGAATGCCCGCCACAGTCCCGCTATAAGTCGCTGATCGGCGCTCCATACTAGTAAAAAATAATTAAATTAAAAAAAATTTCAATTCCAGTATATATACTGCCATTTGTAAAAGCTGTAACTTTCACGTAAACCAATTAATTTACATGTATTGGGATTTTTTTTCTTAGCAAAGACATGGAGCAGAATACATTTTGCCCTAAATTTATGAGGAAATTTGATTTTTTAAATTTTTTTTTTACTGGACATGTTTAATAGCAAAAAGTCCCAAATATTGTTTTTTTCTCAAAATTGTTGGTCTTTTTATGTTTATAGCTCCAAAAATATAAAACACACAGACAATCAAATACCGCCGAAAGAAAGCTCTATTTGTAGGAAAAAAGGACGTAAATTTAATTTGGGTGCTGTGTTGCATGACCGCGCAATTGTCAGTTAAAGTAACGCAGCACTGTATCGCAAAAAATGGCCTGGTCAGGAAGGGGGGTAAATCCCCTGGAGGGCAAGTGGTTAAAGGAGTGATCGTTTCATAATACAGAGCACCTTGCACATCCCACCCTTTGTGTTGATAGAAAAATACCAAGTTACAAAATAATGTAATGGATATTTTATATAAAGAGTGCAAATCAAATACCACTAAAAAATGAGGGTATGAAAGAAGATGCTGCTTCCCAACACATTTTGCGGATTTTACTTTTTTAGAAGACATTAAAAGAGAAGTATGGGTTTAAAATAAAATCATACTCACCTAGGTGCATGTTGTATCCTTCTAAGACTGAGAATCGAACGATCATGGACTGCTGATTGCTCAGTTCTCAGTCTTTAGTGAGCAGAGAGCCGATGCCTTTGAGTCACTGGCTCTCTGCTTTGCCCCTCCAGCGCTCATTGGAGCGCCAAGCTGTGGAGGGGGCAAGAATGGCTGGCTCAGGCTAGTCTAGGTGAATCTCAACTTCAAAGTCAGTATCTTTCCCGAGCCTGGACCGACTGCTTGACATCAGCTGACAGCGAACTTTAGCACACTTGCGGCTGAACACGGGTCACAGATGTCCAGTACACACCTTAGGAGAAGTATGGCCAAAATACGTGTAGCTATTCTTCTTTAAGGTGAATGATCACATACACAGTTGGCTCTGCTAAAACAAAACCCAGAAGTCAGGAGGAGTGGAAACCTGAGGCAGTATTAACCCCAAAGAGGCCGGGTGGGCATCAAGGGGTTTGGACCAAACGACTGTCACTGACAGGCCCCGCTGAAGGGAAGGTCCCATATATAGGTATGTTCAAACATCAAACAATAAGGTTCTCCTTTGCCAACAGTGGTAAACATACAGCTCTCCTGACCTACATAAATGTACCTGATCAGCAGGGTGGATTTGATTTAAATCTAACTGATTTAAATCACTAGTCAGTAAGGCTTGATTTAAATCAGTTTTCTACATAGACTAATTCTTGCTGGTATAACATTAATATGCAAGTAGATGAAGATTTTTAGAATAACAACTTTTCATATTAGTTTTTTTTTATCCCCAGTTTAATAGGTTAATCATTCATATTTTGACATCTTTTCTGTTGTACTTAGGAAGGAGAAAAATAATCATTACCTTAATAATAACAATTTAAATAGATTTATTCAACTGAAACAATAACATTCCAGCATATATTATTTGCTTAAACAAACATCCATATTTGTTAACTAATTTGGCTAAACAAAATACCTCACACTTAGTTTCACTTTCTTCTTGTGCAGATCTATTCCACTCCAAACAATCAGAAAAATATTGTTTCTATTCTATTCACTGAACTTCTTGAAACTTAGCACTGAAGGGGTTGATTCTGTATTCATAGGTTTGTAGAAATTAGGATGAAGGTCTTTTTCTTAACTCTGTTCATGTTATAACATTTTTGCTGTGAAGAAGAGGCATGTGATCTCCGCTGAGTCAAATTCAGTTTTGAGAACTGCAAAAGTAAACCGAGCATCTGTGATAATATCTTGTAGGCAGAGAAACTGCCCAATAATCTTACAAAAACCTCTGGAAGAGCATGACATTGTGAATGGATTCATGGAATTTATTTACCAAAAAAATTAAACATATACAGCCTTATTCTACATAAATAAAAAGCTAATCTTTATTTCATGATGGAATAACCTTTGGATGGTAATATATTTTCCTCAAAAAGCATTTTATTTTAAAAAATCCGATTTAAATAAAAAAAAAAAAATCAGATTTTTTTGATTTTTTAAAAAAAAAATCATTGATTTTTATCCACCCTGCTGATCAGCGACTCCCTAAGTGGTGAAGGAGGGATGAGAGCCATTCAAATACAAATCTTCAATGCTTTTTTTATTGCATTTTCCTTTTGAAATTTAAAGTTTTAAGAGAAATACTGATGCATATACCTTGTAGGAAGTATAGTAGTTGGAAACTCATTATTTGTCAATGTTTGGCTTACCTTTAGACTGTAAGCTCCACGAACAGGGCCCTCACATTCCTTCTGTACTGAACGTATTGTAATTGTACTGTCTCCCTTATATTGTAAAGAGCTGCGCAAACTGTTGGCGCTATATAAATCCTGTATAATAATAATAATATAATAATATTTCAGAAACCTTGTTGAAGCTGTACCTGTGTGTGTCAGAAGATGGCAGTAGGGTACTCATGGCCAATCACACAGGATGTGTGTACCTGTGGGAAAAACACAGAGGAAAAGAATCGGCCAAATCCTCCGAAAACCAGGACCCTTTCAGGCCGGTGGACTAAAATTGAACCTCATGATGCGGTTGTGTTTCCAAGCACAGAGGATAAAGAAGCGACAGTCCATGCCATGTTTTTAAAGAGCCAGGTATGTTATCTTGTTTTATGTTCTGTGTGCAACTGTGTATGTGGAGCTAAGATTTTCTGTCAGGATTGCTTCAATTAGAATTAGGATTTGCAGCAGAAAATGAAGATCTGCGGCTGATTTCTTTTGGTGAGTTTGTGCTCAGACCTCAGCAGTGGGAAGATTGATTAGGGTATTATTTCTGATCTCTACTAGCCTCATGTAACATATTTCCAGTTTTGTATTCTGCAGCATATTCCCAGCCAAAAATGTACAATGTCCACACTCTCCTGACTCGTTTCCTCTATTAGGTCTGCAGTTTCTGACAGTCCTCTCAAACATTACATGTATTTCACATTATGTGTGACCCTTTGGTGATATCAGGGGCTGCATTTGAGGCCCTCTTTAGCTCATAAGTTGACAACCGCTATCTTAACCGCTTCAGCAGCACCCTATAGCAGAAATACTGCTACAGGGCAGCACGGGTGCACAAAATCACGTATATATGTGTGATTTTGCAGATTTGGGTAGGGGGCGCGTGCGCTCTACCCGTGCCGCCATTCGCGGCCTCGGCTGTCAATCACTGGGTCCCGGCCAGTGATTCCCTGCCGGAATGCTGTGATCTCCGAGTACTACCGACTGGGGAGAGACCTGTGTATAAACAACACAGATCTCTCCCCTGTCAGCTCCAGCACACTGCTTTGTATGGCTTTGCATAGCAGAGTCATACAAAGCAGTGTGCTTACAGTGTAAAGCAAACAGTTAACCCTTTTATTGCCCTACGTTAACCCCTTCATGCCCAGTGTCATTAGTACAGTGTCCGTGCACTGATCACTGTATTGGTATCACTGGGGATGTCAATGACACTAAGTCAGGTCCCCCCAGTGTCAGAATGCCGCCGGAATCCCGCTATAAATCACTGATCGCCGCCATTACTAGGAAAAAAAAATTAAGTAAATAAGAATTCCAGTATATATATCGCCATTTGTAAACACTATAATTTTCACGTAAACCAATTAATTTACACATATTTTTTATTTTTTTTTAGCAAAGACATGTAGGAGAGTACATTTTGGCCTAAATTTTCTGATGAAATTTTATTTCTTGAAATTTTTTTTACTGGATATGTTTATTAGCTTAAAGTCAAAAATATGTTTTTTTTGTTTACAAAATTGACGGTCTTTTTTTGTTTATATAGCACAAAAAATAAAATACGCAGGCGTTCAAATACCACCGAAAAAAAATCTCTATTTGTGAGAAAAAAGGACAAAAATATTAATTTGGGTGCAGCGTTGCATGACCGCGCAATTGTCAGTTAAAGTAACGCCATATAGCAAAAAAATGGCCTGGTCAGGAAGGGGGGAAATTCTCTGGAGGGCAAGAGGTTAAACCAGGTGTGCTCAACCCTTTGAAGAGCGATGGCCACTTAAGTGTTTTTTTTTTTTTAACAGCATAATAAACATCTTTCTCCTACAGCCGCCGAAATACCGACGGGAGGCAGAGTAGGAGAAGCCAGCTTTCAGCGGTTTCAGGAGGAAAATGGAGGGGATTGGTTCCTGTAGATGCTGTCCCTCATCACCCCACCTGTCCAAGTGTAAAACAGAATGTGATAGGGAGGCCGCATGGAGCAGGATCGCCATTGCAACCCCTGACACTACCAGTGGTTGGGAGTTTTTGGTAAAAACACGTCTCAACTATGGTGTTTTACTACCACTCAGACCGCAAATGTAAACCAGCACTTATCGTCCTGATCCCCATATAATGCTACTTTCACACTGATGCACTGAGCTTTACCCACACTGTGGGTGCAGCGCATTGCAACTACAGCTTACCTGCGGGTTAGCTGCGCTTTGCCATAGACTTCTATTATATATTTTGGGTGTGGTGCACTTTCAGAAAGCACACCAAACCCGCAGACTATAATAGAAGTCTATGGCTCAGTGCAGCTAACCTGCAGGCGCACTGTGCTGCACCCACGGATCAGTGTGAAAGCAGTCCAATAGTTATCTCTTTTATAGGTGCTAATATGTCTGTTGCAAAAGCACAGTGTATGTGGTGTTTAATACTCTCTTCCAGCTTCTGCTGGCATCGCTCTGTAGGCTGCTAGAAAGGTCCCAGGTGAAGTGCACTTGGTATCACTTCTGAGACAGGGTCGGCGCTACAGAGGATGCATCAGCTTATGTAACTCCTGCTCTCTCCATGGCCGCCTTCTTCCTTTTGCTGCTGTCACCAGCTTCATGCACATTGATACTCTGGGATGGTGGGTCAGCAAGCCCAGATCGCGATCAACGGGTTGCCGATGTCGGGCATGTGCTTCCCTGTTTTGAGGTCGAGGGCCACATCAGAGGGCTCCAAGGGCCACAGGTTGAGCACCCTTATCTTATGCGGTTATGCTGCCACCTTCAAGTGATTGGACACTTGCAAAAATAGACATGAAATCCCCTACCAGGCATAACCCCTCCAAGCTAGGTCAGTTTTTTTTTTTTTTTTTGCTAGTGTCTTAGGAAATGCATAGTCTGCACAAAAATTAACTAGCTTCTCAATGGTTCCATCAGCGATTAGGAGACTAGCTTTTTTGGTACACGGACCCAGTTCAGAACACGTAGGGACTTCCTGTAACATTGCCAGTTGGCAACAATAAATTGTTTTGTGGACTAGCAGGGTGCTATACAGGTCCAGGGCAGTGATCCCCAGCTAGGGAGTTGAGTCCCGAAGGCCCTTTTGGGTGATGATTCAACCCCCTTGGGGGATCTTGTAGCTTGGAGTGGTGAGTGCCCTCGTGGTAGGCTGCTGAGTACCTTCTCTCCTCTCTATATATGTGACCCCAGCCTACCTCATTACCTCTCCCTCCTTCCTTTCCCTGGGTGGGACTGGACAGATAGTAATCTGTCTTGTCCTTTCTTTGCTTTACATTTTAATGCACTGTAATAAAGCTTCCTGGGCCACCTGAGCGCTACACAGAAGTAGCGATGTTTAGGGGCAGTCCAAGGAAATCCTGGTGCCAAATCAAGGGGTGGAACATTTTCTGCCTCCCCCCCCCCCCCCCCCTCACTCATCTATTGCCGAGTTAGGCCATGTGCGCAGTTCAGCAGTTGCTGTCAAGAGCAGGGCAGAGCCCCCTGGCTGTGGCCGTCTTGCTTGTGGCAGCAGCAGAGTAGCTCTGCAGGACTACATGTCATAGCAAGCCTGATTTAACCTCCCTAGCGGTCTGATTATGTCATTATTTCTGTGCTCAAAGCGGTAAATTTTTTTGCATGGAAATATGTCATTTTTTTATTGTAGGCCTGTAATTTTTAGGAATAACTCACTGAAATCTGTCTGAACAAGAGTCTAGTAAACATCACGGGTATGATAGAATTTGAAACACCAAATCATAAATTATAATATAATAAATAATCATAAAAAAATAATATAATAATAAATTTAATTCAATAATATAATCAAAACAAAAACACTGAAATTTTAAATATAGCGCCAAGTTCGCACATCGCTGAGCAAAGTCGCAAAATCGTTTTTCAGTGTTTGATGACGAATTTCCCCACGAATCATTATCACTCAATTCTGCAAGTGGTTCTGATTTACTATCGCTGTTCTCTAGCTGGTCTAAAACCGCTTTTGACAGAAAGGGACGCTTTTTGGACGCCATGGACGTTTCTCAGTTTCCAGGCAGAAAGAACAGTAAAAATGCAGGCAGGGCACAGGACAAACCACTCGGGACAAAATGTATGTGAAATGGTTTGATACAGCAATGTTTTACTATGTGATTTTAGTGTATTTAGTGAATGTCACTTTTTAAAATGTTTACATTTCCCGCCGGTTCCGGTCCCTGTACGTCCCGACACTCTCAGGGACCGGAACATGGACGCCGACATCGGCCGGAGGAGATGGCCGGGGGACACTGCAGGGGAGACATCGCGGGAGCGCAGGACAAGGTAAGTGAAACAGGGATCCCGGAGCAATGCTGCTGTGTATTCCCGAGTGTAGCTCGGGGTTACTGCTTTTGGTACTGATAATTAACCCCGAGCTACACTTGGGAATACCACCGGGGAGGATCAAGAAACCTCCACAGCTGTCTTCCTAGTTGGGGAGATGGAACACTGGAGAAAAAGTAGGAGGTTGATTTCCCAAAAAGGGCATTTTTTTTCTTCGTTTGAGTTCTGCAATATCTGATACTTAATGAAAACTCATGTCCGAAGTTCTTTCATTTACTTTATTTTTGTATTTCTGTGATTTTGCAGGTGTTGGGAGACAGCTGTTTATGTACGTTTGTCTTCTACTCTGGAGCCCATCTCATGATGACATTTCTTTCTCTGCGCTGGCTTGAGGGTGATCAAAAGTACAATAGGTCTGCTTCTTTATATATTTAGTTTTATGGTCTCAAATATTTCCTTGTGTTGAGTTAATATTTTTATTTGTGTATGTTTGTTTCTATTGGTATCGTAATCACCAACCATTGGGGAGATTTAGGCCCCGTACACACATTGAGAATATCGGGCGAATGATCATCCGTTTTTTTGGGGGTTTTGTTTTTTGGATGCTAGTCTCATATCGAAAATTAAGAGGTTGCTAAAGCTACGAAAATTCTCATATGACAACTTCAGAAGTGATATATTGTAATGTATTATTTCGTTTCTGAGCATGCGTGGTCTTGGACTTCTGATTTTTTTTTTTTTTTGGCTACTGTACTGATTAAACGAAAATTGTTAGTTCTGCTTTCATACAAGAACATTTTTTGCATTTGTCCCTTTGGATATTGTTGCACAAACTGTTGTGATCTGCCCTCGAAAGCTGTGTAATAACGATCAGATTACCGGATGATTGCTCCTCTTACGGAAATTTTCATACGATTTTCTTAGCGTGTGTATGGGCCGTAACTCTCACAGTAGACAGCAATAAAAACACTTTTTAGCAGAGTTGAATTGAGTTTATTGCTGTTCCAGTTGATGGGATCTTCCTTTACATTCTGGGGACATGTTGTCCATAACGTCTATGCTGTATATTATTATTATACAGTGTTTATATAGTGCCAAAAAGTTTGCTCAGCGCTGTACAATATAGTGGGGGACAGTACATGAGACAATACAGTAACAAAACAATATACGAGGGGTTCGAGGGCCCTGCTCTTTCGAGCTTACAATCTAGGAGGGAGGGGATAGTGGCATAGGAGGAGATAGCTGTGGGGGATGGAGTGGTAGGAAGAGTGGAGGAGGTCGGCAAGTTAGCAGGGGGTGGGGTAGGCTTCCCTGAAGAGATGGGTTTTCAGGGTGCGCCTAAAGGTGAGGAGGCTAGGTGACAGTCTGATGGATTGGAGTAGTGAGTTCCAGAGGATGGGGGAAGTCCTGGAGAAGTCCTGCAGTCAGGCGTGGGAGGAGGAGACCAGGGAGCTAAGTATAGACATACTTGCCTTGCCACTGTTTTTGCTTTCCTTGTAATTCTATAAAGATTTTTTTCATTTTTTTTTTTTGCAGGCAACCAGTGTCGTCTTTGTAAACACTATGAACTTTGTAACTGTTTGTGGCAGTTTGAAGGGTTGTGGTAGCAAAAACCAGCAAATCCCAACCAGATATCTAAGGTTGGTACAAATTATTTTTGAAGGTACCCATAAACCTGACATGACTCTTTCCTTAGTATGTTTGGTTGGTTTAGTATGTGAGGTTGAGCAACTCATTCTCAGAAAATCTAACATATTTTCTCCTAAGTCACCACTGTTGCTTCTCTTGAGGTAAAGCATTTTTGGATCCTCTTCTTCCATAGACATTACCATGTATTGTCAATTAAAGTGATACTAAACACACATTATTTAATCTACATTACCCCTTCTTTTTCTATATGTGGATGACGATACTGTAATTATTTTAATAAATAATCGATATACAGTTGTCACATGACCCATCCCAGCCTGTCTGCAGGGAAACATAAGCAGTAGGAGCGTCTAGTCCTCTGCTGGCAGTCACATGTTCAAAATAAAAAACAGTGTTTGGAATACGGGGTAAAAATAAACAAGATCAATAAACTGTTTTAAATTGTCATACAAATATATATTTGATATCAGATCTTTATTCTTTTTTGGCAATAACATGGTGGGGGCGTATGTCTGCCAGTCACAGGCTGTGTCATGCCCCTCCAGCCTGTGTCTTAGAATAAAAGGGAGGTGAAGCCTCCATCAATCAAGATGTAATATCCCACCCCCATTGTGTTTAGCTGGTTATTGGGCATGGAGGACGAAGGATGGAGTGGGCTGTAATTTACCACTGTATATACGCTCACATGTGTGGCTCTATAGTCACATGGGCTGCTCAGATGTGAGAGGGAGGAAATGCTCAGCATAGAAATTCACTGAAAATTGTGCAGACTCGCCAACACTGCTCTGCAAATTTCCTAACTGCCTTGGGGATTTGGACAGAAGGAGGAAGGGGTAGACATGAGAATGCTTAAACATTTGTAATTGCAACAATTTGCTGGGCGAAGTGGTGCATTATCTGACAGAAATGCGGGGGTGCCAATATTTTTGGCCATGATTGTATTTCAGGAGGCTGCAGGAGTAGGGACACACAGCGACCATAAATAGAGCTTGAATCCAGAAGAGGCTGCCAGCTCCTGATCACTGAGGATGACCAAGATGGTGGCCTGGGACATGGGCTGTGACACCTGAACATCAGATTTCAGCAGGACAATGCTGAATCTGTTGGCAAAGTGAGCATTTAAATTGAGGAATAGTCATCAATAACCACTTCCCGACCACGCTATAGCCAAAAGATGGCTACAGCGCACTCGGCTAGTTCTGGGAGGGAGTCCATGGACGTTCTCCCTGAACCACACCCCTCTTCGGACACAGCTGATCATGTGTCCAAGTAGAGGGCCAGCCAGAGCTGTCTTTTACATGTGACCAGCTGTGTCCAATCACAGCTGATCACATGTGAACAGGAAATTCTGGTTATCGGCACTCCTCTCCTCACACTGACCACGCATGAGGAGAGTCGGTAAGGGGCATTTCTCAGGGGGACATCTACGCTGATCATCAGGACACTAATCATCAGTGCCCTGATGATCAGTGTGGCCAGTAGTGCCCATCTGTGCTGGCTTTCAGTGCTATCAGTGCCTCAGTGATGCCTGTCAGTGCTGCCCATCAGTGGCACCTATCAGTGGAGTGCCAATCAGTGCAGCCTATCACTGCACAACAGGGAAGGAGAAAAATTACTTATTTACAAAACTTTTTAACAGAAACTAAGAAAACCTTTTTTTAATTTTCTAAATGTTTGGTCTTTTTTTGTTTGTTTAGCAAAAAATAAAAACCCCTTTGGTGACTAAATACCACCAAAAGCAAGCTCTATTTGTCTAAAAAAAAAATTATAAAAAATTAAACTTGAAACACGAAATCATAAATTATAATTTAATAAATAATCCTAAAAAATAATAATATATATGATAGTGGTCACTGCGATGGGAAGTGGGAGAAACTCTCCCTAAAAGTGATCAGTGTGGCAGTAAAAACCCAACAGAGGTTCTAACCATTTCCCACGTAGTTCAGTACTTAAGCAGAAAAGTTTTGATTACAATTTTCTGTGGATTTTTAAATCTTGTTATAATAACCTTTTTCCTTTCCTTCTCAGGTCTTACTGGGTAGCGAACTTGTCATGGACAGCTGACAAGCCTTTTTTTAGCCTGTGTTTTGAAGAGGGGTTCCCTCCTGTTATTAACACGATTGGGTGAGCTCCTGACTCTGACAACATTTGGGTGTAGTGTTGAATTTGGACCTGCTGAGTTTATCCCTCTTCATCCTTTAATCACATACAGGTAAATTGCACGTAGAATGTGTTGATTTATCTTTCAGTATAAATTCTGTTTTCTTGTAGAAGTAGACTGTTGGTTGGTATGGGCAGTAAGAACCAATCTATTTTTTCATCCTTCAGTAAATAAGTCTGCCTTCCCCTAGACAGCTCCAGCAATGATGACATTTGTATAATATAATCTAATTCTGTCCTTAATGTTTTCTATATATAAACTCTGTCCTCTCCTTTTTTTTTTTTTTTTTACTGTGTTTATTATCACATAGGATGCTTTTCAGTTTCTTTGTGATGTGATAATGATAAATGAAGTATAACAATAAATACAAAGTGTTTAATATACATTCTAATAAAATAAATATTACAAAGGACCCATGCACATATGTGTACCTAAGATGCATGTGCATATGTAAATGCCGGTTGTACAACACGTATTTGATATCCCCGTACATGCGAAAGTAGGAGGAATTATTCCAGGTCTGTAATATGTGGTTAAATCTGATTTAGTGAGCTGTAAATGTTTTATAAGTGTTGTCTGTTGACAGTTACATTGTAACATGTTGGTGCTGTCAGGAATGGACTCACCACTGGTGGTGCTGTGGCTCACTTGCTCTGTGGGCTGCAGTACCAGCTCCTACCAGAGGGTGCTTTCAGCAGCCAGGTTCTCACTCCTGAGGCTGATTGCAGAAGGTCTATTTAAGCAGGACCAGGCCTGCAATCAGTGCCTTGGTGTTTGTTTCCCATGAGCCCCTGTACCTGGTATCCTGTGTTCCTGCATATCTGCCTATCTGATTTGTTGCTGACCCTGCTTTGATCCTGACCTCTGCTGACTTCTCTTGCCCTGATCCCTGGCCTGTCTGACTTCTCTTTGGATGCCCTCATTGGATCTGATCTCCTGTTACTGACCCAGGGAGTGACCCGACTATTCTGTGCCAGCTGCCTTGTACCGCGCTGTCCCCACCGTTACTGACCCGGCCTGTCTGACCACGCTTCTGCTCAGGCATCCATCCATCCATCCTGCACGGACCCATCCGCCTCTTCACGTCAGGCTCTCCTCCAGAATATACCTCTGGCGGATCCCTCTACCACGGGTGGGTGTACTCAGGGGCTGCGACCTGGTCTCTGTCTGCTCCAAGTCCATCCCCACCATCAGGGGCCCTGGTGAACAAGCAGACTGGGACTTAGACTCCGCACTCTGGGGAATCCAATTCCGTGGATTGCTAGAGGTACCGCCAGGCGGTGCATTACAGACCCATACGGCCTGCCTGACCATTCCACCTCTCCAGCTCTGTCTACACCTGTGTTCCCACACATTTCTGGTCATACCCGGATCCCTGACAGCTACTTTGCAGGTGCATGCACATTTTAGACTTCGCATATATGGTAATTATTTACTCTACACAGCCTCATACTTTTTATTTAATAGAATATTTGGAGATGAATTTAATTGAAAATATAGACTTGGTAACAGTTGCACGTACAGTGGCTATAAAAAGTCTACACACCCCTGTTAAAATAACGGGTTTCTGTAATGTAAAAAAAAATGAGACAAAGATAAATCATTTCAGAACTTTTCCCCACCTTTACTGCAACTTATAAACTGTACAACTCAATTGCAAAACAAACTGAAATCTTTTAGGGGGGGTAAGTAAACATAAAAAACTAAAACAATGTGGTTGCATAAGTGTGCACACCCTCTTATAACTGGGGATGTAGCTGTGTTCAGAATTAAGCAATCACATTCAAAATCATGTTAAATAGGAGTCGGTACACACCTCTGATTAACCCCAAGTGCCTCTGATTAACCCCAAATAAGGTTCAGCTGTTCTAGTAGGTCTTTCCTGACATTTTCTTAGTCGCGTCCTACAGCAAAAGCCATGGTCCACGAGAGCTTCCAAAGCATCAGAGGGATCTCATTGTTAAAAGGTATCAGTCAGGAGAAGGGTACAACAGAACTTCCAAGGCATTAGATATACCATGGAACACAGTGAAGACAGTCATCATCAAGTGCAGAAAATATGGATCAACAGTGACATTACCAAGAACTGGATGTCCCTCCAAAATTGATGAAAAGACGAGAAGAAAACTGGTCTGGGAGGCTGCCAAGAGGTCTACAGCAACATTAACCACTTGGCAACCTCACTATAGCTGAATGACGGCTACAGCACGGTTGTCAAGTTCTGGGAGGGCGTCATATGACATCCTCCCGCGCGCCCCCAGCGGCGCGCACCTGGTGATCTACGTGATCACATGATGTGGTAAAAGGCCAATCACAGCAGCCTTTTACCACGTGATGAGCTGTGTCCAATGATACAGCAGATCACTGGGTAAATGCAGTTGCCGGTTATCAGCTGCACTTTCCTCAGAAAACAGATCGGCACTGATCATCAGTGCCAAGCAGTGCCACCCACCAGTGCCCTGCAGTGCCACACACCAGTAACATCCATCAGTGCCACCAGTCTGTGCAGTCAGTCAGTGCCACCCATCACTGCTGCCTATCTGTGCCACATCGGTGCCGACTATCAGTGCCACCTATCAGCACCCATCAGTGCTGCCTATCAGTGCCCATCAGTGCTGCCTATCAGTGCAGCCTCATCAGTGCACATCAGTGAAAGAGAAAAATTACCTGTTTGCAAATGTTAAAATAGAAACAAAGAAAAAACTTTTTTATTTTTAAATTTTTTGCTATTTTTTTGTGCAAAGTGCAAGAAATAAAACACCCAGTGGCGATTAAATACCACCAAAAGAAAGCTCTGTTTGTGTGAAAAAAATGATAAAAATTTCATATGGGTACAGTGTTTGCATGACCACGCAATTGTCATTCAAAGTGCGACAGCACTGAAAGCTGAAAATTGGCCTGGGCAGGAAGGGGGTATAAGTGCCCGGTAGGCAAGTGGTTAAAGGAACTGCAGGAATATCCGGCAAGTACTGGCTGTGTGGTACATATGACAACAATCTCCCATATTCTTCATATCTCTGGGCTATGGGGTAGAGTGGCAAGACGGAAGCCTTTTCTTACGAAGAAAAACATTCAAGCCTGGCTAATTTTTGCAAAAACACATCTGAAGTCTCCCAAAAGCATGTGGGAAAATGTGTTCTGGTCTGATGAAACCAAGGTTGGACTTTTTGGCCATAATTCCAAAAGATATGTTTGGTGCAAAAATAACACTGCACATCACCAAAAGAACACCATACCCACAGTGAAGCATGGTGGTGGCAGCAGCATGCTTTGGGGCTGTTTTTCTTCAGCTGGAACTGGGGCCTTAGTCAAGGTAGAGGGAATAATGAACAGTTCCAAATACCAGTCAATATTGGCACAAAACCTTCAGGCTTCTGCTAGAAAGCTGAACATGAAGAGGAACTTCATCTTTCAGCATGACAATGACCCAAAGCATACATCCAAATCAACAAAGGAATGGCTTCACCAGAAGAAGATTAAAGCTTTGGAATGGCCCAGCCAGAGCCCAGACCTGATTCCGATCGAATATCTGTGGGGTGATCGGAAGAGGGCTGTGTGCAGGAGATGCCCTCGCAATCTGACAGATTTGGAGTGTTTCTGCAAGGAAGAGTGATCAAGAAGTCAAGATGTGCCATGCTGATAGACTCATACCCAAAAAGAGTGCTGGAATAAAATCAAAAGATGCTTCAACAAAGTATTAGTTTGAGGGTGTGCACATTTATGCAACCATATTATTTTAGTTTTTTATTTTTACTTCCCTCCACCAAAAAGATTTCAGTTTGTTGTTCAACTGAGTTGTACAGTTTTTAGGTCACATTAAAGGTGGAAAAAGTTCTGAAATTATATATCTTTGTCTCATTTTTTTACATCACAGAAACCTGACATTTTAACGGGTGTGTAGACTTTTTATATCCACTGTATAATACCGTGCAACATACATTGTCACTACTCATATTTTATTCTATAGGTCCTTGACGTTTAGAAAATATTTGTTTTGGGATTTTGCATTTGCTTGTTCAAAATGTGTGTCTTAGCATGTGTGTAAAATAACTCCCTTCTACAACATGACAGCTGGATTCTAACTGCTTGCAACAGAGAAGTAAAACAACTATACCATGGAAAATGTTACATCTATGATCTTTTATTTCAAATACAGGTTTTCCTTTCATCTCATTTTCAGCTTTACTTATATCCATTTATTCCATGTAACGCCATCTTCTATATTTTTCTGTGTAGTTTTCTGTGTCTGTTTTCATTTATTCTTCTTTCCTCATTTTCTCATTCTAGCTTCCTTCTCTCACTTGTTCTGTCCTCATGACATAATGTTACATTATAATGTAAGTATGAAGTCATTGAATCTTGATACAGCACAGTATGACACAACTTTAGATTTTGCATTATTATTATTATTATTATTATATACAGGATTTATATAGTGCCAACAGTTTGTCAGCTCTTTTACAATATAAAGAGTGACAATACAGTTCAATACAAGAGGGATAGGACGGCCCTGTTCTTGGAGCTTACAATCTGCTTTATGCAGCTATTTATTTTAAACTGTTCATGGCCACCAAAAGGTCATCTGTGCAGAACCAGGGCAAATCCAGTGTTTACATTGCAGTCACTTGTATTTCTCGCTCTCTCTTTTCCCCCCTCTCTCTCCCCTCGCCCCCTCTCCCTCTCTCCCCCTTTCCCTCTCCCTCTCTCCCCCTTTCCGTCTCCCTCTCTCTCCCCCCCTTCCCTCTCCCTCTCTCTCCCCCTTTCCCTCTCCCTCTCTCTCCCCCTTTCCCTCTCCCTCTCTCTCCCCCCCTTTCCCTCTCCCCTCTCTCCCCCCTTTCCCTCTCCCTCTCTCTCCCCCCTTTCCCTCTCCCTCTCTCTCCCCCTTTCCCTCTCCCCCTCTCTCCCCCTTTCCCTCTCCCTCTCTCTCCCCCTTTCCCTCTCCCTCTCTCTCCCCCTTTCCCTCTCCCTCTCTCTCCCCCTTTCCCTCTCCCTCTCTATCCCTCTCTTTCTCCCCCTCTCTCCCTCACTCTCTCTCCCTCTCTCTCTCCCTCTCTCTCTCCCCCCCTATCTCCCCCTCTCTCTCTCCCCCTCTATCCCTCTCTCCCCCCACCCCCCCCTCTATCCCCCTATCTCTCTCTCCCCCTCCCCCCTCTCTCTCTCCCCCTCCCCCCCTCTCTCCCCCTCCCCCCCTCTCCCCCCCCCTCTCCCTCTCCCCCCCCTCTCCCCCCTCTGTCTCTCCCACCCCCCTCCTCCCCTCCCCCCTCTCTCTCCCCCTCCCCCCTCTCCCCTCCCCCCCCCCTCTCCCCCCCCCTCTCTCTCCCCCCCCCCTCTCTCCCCCCCTCTCTCTCTCTCCCCCCCCCTCTCTCTCCCCCCCCCCCCCCCTCTCTATCTCCCCATCTCCAAATATGTAAACACTACACGATTTGCAGGTGTTAAAGTGACAACATGGTTTGCCTGGAAAGCGGAAGTGATGTACATTCTTTTTGCTTCCGCTGTGTGATGAGACACCTAGCTAACAGGTGGGAAGCCTCACTTTCGTCATTCACCACGTGCGCTGCTAGTAATATGGCGTTTTGTCAGAGCTTACTGGACTTCAAAGAGGGCAGATTGTTGGTACCCACTTAGCTGGTGCCTCTGTGACCAAAGTTGTGTTGCGAGGTACAGTATAAAAGGTTATGACGGCATATAGAGAAAAAAAAAAGGTCTGATAAGCATAAGCGTAGTCGGCATGGTCAACTGACCGAAAGAGACAAAAGGACTTTGCACAGGATTGTGACCCAGAATAAGAAAACAACTAACGCAAAAGTGACTGCAGAGCTCAATCTCAGTCCAGTGAAGACTGAGATTGAGCTCTGCAGTCACTTTTGCAGCAGTTTTCTTATTCTGGGTATATTATGTGCCTAATGCCACCAAAGGGCATAATAATTTTGTGAATCCTCTTCCCTCTACCTGGCAATGTTTGGGTGTTCCTTAATGTCCTTCTGTGGCAAAGCCAGTGACTATCCAGTTATTAATAAAATGTACCCTTTACATTGCATGTCACTTGCAAAAGGGGGATCCCCTGCCGCAAGAGGGGCATCCCCTTGCCCTCTATCTGGCAAGGTTGTGGCCAGGCCGTTCAGGCACAGGGCATGAATTGTGGTTGGGGCAGAGTGAATGTCTGTTTGGCAGTCAGGTAGTGCAGACAAAGGTGGGGGTGGGGGGGGGGTGCTCTGAGACTCCAGAATGCACTGCAGAAACTCAATACAAAAGGTATGTACTGGTGGCCTATGCCATTATGCCTTCTGCTTTACTAGTGTCATTATTTTCACTATCTTTGTCTTAAGAAAACAAATGGCAATAAATATAATGTAGTTTAACCTGCTACTGCTTAGTGTTTCCATTTCCTCTTTTGCAGACCGCCTGTCCCGCTCCTGGAAAGCCATAATGCCAATGACTCTATGGGTTCTGTGGCATCTCAGGATGATCTAATGAGGCAGAGGTTTTCTGTCACTTGTCACCCTCGCCTGCCTTACCTCATTGTCTCTGATGGTTATATGGTGACTGCTCTCCGCTTTGCACAAAATATGTCTCCTTATAACTTCATGAAGTCTTTACTGCTAGACTCTGCCCAGAGGCTGGAGAATGTACGGCAGAGCCTGCAGTTAGGAAAGGTGAGAGATGTGGAATGGAAATGCAGAAATGTTTTCATCAAATGCAGTAATGTTTTTCCAGAGTTACTTTGATTATTATTTGTTTGTTACAAACAGTTTTTTTAGTGCTGACATTTTAGCAGCTCTCTGCATGTTGTAAATTCAGTCCCTATTCCGAAGCTTACAGTCTAAGGTCCCTATCTCACATGCATACATACACATATTAGGGATAATTTAGACAATCTACCAGCATGTCTTTAGAGTGTGGCAGGAAACCAGAGTACCTGGAAAAACCCACAGTAGCCCAGGAAGAACAAGTCATGGTCAGGCTTCAAATTCAGGACCCTAGTGCTGCAGAGCAGGAGTGCTAACCACTAAGTCTCTGCCTTTAATTAGATTAGAGAGACATTTATTGTTCATCTCAATATAAAAATGCTAGGTTCTTGACTGTTCTGAACTCCAGGTCAGTCATACTTTGTTTTTGTCCCACTAACTGCTTGCAGATATGGAGTTCTGACTCCATTGGCTGTTTAACTGTACTAGGTGAAATATGCAGAAAGTATTTAAGACAGAGACCGCTGGATAGACAGTTTTTTTAAGAGGTGAGCAATGGCAACTTATTTCTTCCTGTAGGGAACTACTCTAAAGGGGAAGCACCATCCATTTCAGTAGGTAGCTTTAAATTATCGTAAAGTTTACCTGAATCTGTATCATTGCTAAATTAAGAATTTCTAGCAGTAAATAAAGCACACTTGTTATGTTGCGCTATGTAGAAGGAAACAGCCAGTGCAACTGAGAAGCTACTGGATAGAATTTGTAGCTCACCAATTGGTATAACTTGCTGCCCAGAATTTCTCTTTAGGTTTACAGCTTACAGACCCATTTTAAACCAATAACCTCTGGTCTTCCAGCAACCAATAACTGTATATGGAACAGTAAATTTATTTATATTTTAATCACCTTGCAGTATTGCTACAACTTATTTAAACAATGATTTTGTTTAGTAGTTGCCCAACTTTTTATAAACTACAGTGATTTTAATTTTACAGTCAAAGAAAAATGGGATTAAGCTGAGGTCCCTGTCTTCTCTGAAAGCCACTTTATCTAAAGATGCTGATAAACCTCCATCAGTGCTTTCTACAGTGCCAAGCTTTCTACAAGACGAGGAAGAAATCTGTGGCCATATGGAGAGGATATTACAGGTATTCAAATGCGTGTTCTAATTTTGTCTTTTTTTTTTTTTTTTGTAATGGATACATGCTGTACCTTTAACTACTTAAAGTGTCGCACTTTGAATGACAATTGCGCGGTCATGCAACATTGTGCTCCTAAGAAATGTTTAGATTTTTTTTCTCACAAATGGGGCTTTCTTTTGGTGGTATTTACTCACCACTGGGTGTTTTATTTTTTACGCTAGAAACAAAAAAAGAGCAAAAAAAAAAAAAAAAAAGGTTTCTTTGTTTCTATTATAAAATTTTGCAAACAGGTAATTTTTCTCCTTCACTGATGTGCGTTTGATGAGGCAGCACTGATGAGCTAGCACTGCTGGGCACTGACTGGCGGCACTGCTGGGCACTGACTGGCGGCACTGACTGGTGGCACTGCTGGATGGTACTGACTGGCGGCACTGTTGGGCTGCACTGCTGGGCACTTGTGGGCGGCACTGCTGAGCACTTGTGGGTGGCACTGCTGGGCACCGATCATCAGGGCACTGATGATCGGTGCCGATCCCTGCTCTGACAACTGCCGGTTCTCGGCTGCACTTTCCTCACACTGTCAGAGCAATTGCATTTCCCAGCGATCAGCGTGTCATTGTACACGGCTCGAAAAAATATATAAAAGTGCAGCGCTACAAACAATGTCCTAATAACAATTTAAAAATATATACATTTGTCCAATATGGAAATATTGAAAGTGGTAAATAGTTTCAATTATGAGGAACTTTCCAGAGAGTATAGGTGTAATCCAATCCAAGGAATAAATAGATTGCCCGCTTACCAAAAGCGCAATCTCAATGCGCATGTACAGGTTTCATGTGGTCTGGTCGGATCGCACTGCTCCTTGGGTCCACACAGAGAGCCTAAAAATGCTGGGGCTGAGTTATGGGGACTCAGTGCCAGGTATAAGAAGTAAAAATACTCATAGTGTAGTATTTTTTAAAAAAAATATATTTATTAAATCCAATATGTAAAAAACATAGGAGTTACAAAACACATGCCTGCAGCCTGTAGCCAGTAAAAGCAGCTGAAAAAAGAATCTAAACACTGACCAGTGAGAAACATGGGTGGGCCGCCGGACCTCCTGACCTGGCGGCGTGACGTCAAGGCGTGCGAAGGCTCCTCCTAGACGCGTTTCGTGTCAATACACGTCTACTGTAGGGGTGATGCCATGCATGCCTGACGTCTGTTTGTCCTTTTATATGCTTAAAAACTGTTAAAATCTGGGGCGATCAAAGGGTTAACTGTTTTCTGTCTTGTGTGTTACATAGTGTGCTGTATGTGTTTTACTATGTAGACATGCTGCTTTGTATTGCTCTGCTGTGAGAACAATACATAGCAGCATGTCGGTGCTGACGGGAAAGATCTGTGTTGTTTACACACAGACCTCTCCCTTGTCACCTCCGCCGCTGATCACCGAGTCCTGGCCAAGGATCGGTGGCCAGGACCCAGTGATTGACATGCCGAGGAGCCAATAGCAGCATGGGTAGGAGGCATGCGCCCCCTGCACGAAAATGAAAATCACGTGTATATATACATGATTTTGCGCATCCCTGCCGCCCTGTAGCAGTACTTGTGCTATATGGCGGTCAGGAAGCGGTTAAAGAAGTTTCACTATACTTGTTTTCTATATGCTGTCCCCATGGCATATTATTATTATCCGCTTCTCAGCAGCCACAGGCAAAGTGTTGTACTCGTACATTGCTCTGGCTGTATCAACACAGGTAGGTGCCCCGGTGGACACAGCAGAATGCAGATCCCGCTGAACGGGACCTGGTGGTCATGTGATGCAATGTTAGCAAAGCTGTTATGAATCAATCAGATTCATAACAACTCTACTTCTATTCCTGGTGAGCTGTGATTGGCCCACAGCTCGCACATGGGCCAATCACAGCACCCTGTACCATGTGACCAGCTGGAGCCAATCACAAATCACTATGTTTGGAACTGTTGTGAACTTAACCCATTCATGACAGTTCAAAGCAAGCATTGCAGGAAAAATAATCTTTATTGCTCCTGCAATGAAAAAAAAATCCCTGCTCACCCCCCCCCCCCCCCCCCCCCAAAGTAGTACAATGTTACTATGGTAACATTGTACTACTCTGATGATGGTATTTTTAAAAAATAATAAAAAAATGCTTAAAAGAAAATACTGTAATGAGAGATTTTTTTCTTAAAATTTTTTAAGGATTTTATTTTCGTAACTACTTGCTGCCCACCCGCAATGTGTGGGCGAACAGCAGCTCTGGGCAAAGTTATGTACCCTTACAACGCTTTCCATTTCCGGGTGTGAGCACGCATGCACCCCCCGCTTCCCCCTGTCAGCCCAGGGAGAGAAGAGAGAACACCACACCGCATAAAAGCACTACATTTTACACGCACACTTTAAATGAGCACATTTAACCATTTGATCACCCTGTCACCCTGCCAGTGCCATTAGCACAGTGTCTGTATATAGAATGCAACTAGTGACATCAGATAGCATTAGGGTCAGTTAGATCCCCTCCCAGCCAGGGTCAACTAGCGTTAGATTGCCTCCACACTATGGCATGATCACCGCCATTACTAGTATAGTGTTTGTACGGATCACTACATTGATCACAAACAGAAATTTACTAGTATCTCCTTAGTATAGTTTTCCCAAAAACACAGTGTTAGGCTAGGTTCACAGCTATGCGTTTGATGTGTTTCTGCAGTGCTTTTTGTGGTGTGTTTTTGCAGATGCATTTCATAGTTTTTTTTTTTTTTTTCCCCAACTTGTGGCTGAGCAGAATAAAACTCAAAACGCATCAAAAACGCACTACATGCTTTTCTGCAGCATCTCCATTGAAGTCTATAGAGCCAATAATGCAACGTTTTGTCTTTGAAAAAGTCCCTGACCCTTTCCTAAAATGCATCGGGTGAAAACACGGAGATGTGAGTCTGTCCCATAGGAAATCATGATAAATGGACTGTACTGCGTTTCTGCAAAACACAGCAGAAAACACTTAGGTGTGAACCTAGACTTAGCAGAATCAGCCCTGTTCGCTGCCAGTACTACACCCTGTTCCAAATTGTTATGCAAATTCTATTTAAGTGTCACAAAGATTAAATGTTTTGTTTTTCAGTTTAACTCATGGATGGCATTGTGTGTCAGGGCTCTTTTGATCACTGAAAACAATCTCGGACACCTGTGATAATTAGATTGGCAGGTGAGCCCAATTTAAGGAAAAACTACTAAAGGAGGGTGTTCCACATTATTAAGCAGAGCACCATTTTCACACAATATGGGGAAGAAAAAGGATCTCTCTGCTGCCGAAAAGAGTGAAATAGTTCAATGCCTTGGACGAGGTCTGAAAACATTTGATATTTCACGAAAACTTAAGCGTGATCATCGCACTATTAAGAGATTTGTGGCTGATTCAGAGCACAGACGGGTTGGTGCAGATAAAGGCACATTGAGGAAGATTTCTGCCAGATCCATGCATCGGATCAAGAGAGCAGCTGCTAAAATACCATTACATAGCAGCAAACAGATATTTGAAGCTGCTGGTGCCTCTGGAGTCCCACGGACATCAAGGTGTAGAGTCCTCCAGAGTCTTGCAACTGTGCATAAATAAACCTTCTATTCGGCCACCACTAACCAATGCTCACAAGCAGAAATGGCTGCATTGGGCAGAAAAAATACATGAAGACTAATTTTCAAACAGTCCTGTTCACTGATGAGTGTCGTGCAACCCTGGATGGTCCAGATGGATGAAGTAGTGGATGGCTGGTGGACGGCCACCCTTTTCCAACAAGACTGCGATGCCAGCAAGGCGGTGGTGTGGAGTCATATTTTGGGCCGGAATCATGGGAACAGAGCTGGTCGGCCCCTTTAGGGTCCCCGAAGGTGTAAAGATGACCTCTGCAAAGTATGTGGAGTTTATGACTGACCACTTTCTTCCCTGGTACAGAAGGAAGAACTATGCTTTCCGTAATAAAATCATCTTCATGCATGACAATGCACCATCTCATGCTGCAAAGAATACCTGTGCATCAATGGCTGCTATGTGGATAAAAGCGAAAGTCATGGTGTGGCCTTCATCCTCCCTGACCTCAATCCTATTGAGAAACTTTGGAGCATCCTCAAGCAAAAGATCTATGCGGGTGGGAGGCAGTTTACATCCAAACAGCAGCTCTGGGAGGCTATTCTGACATCTTGCAAACAAATTTAAGCAGAAACTGTCCAAAAACTCATAAGTTCAATGGATGCAAGACTTGTGAAGCTGCTATCAAACAAGGGGTCCTATGTTACAATGTAACGTGACCTGATAAAATGTTTAAAAAGTTAAAATGTTGTTAAAAGTTTGATTGAAATAGCTTTTGATTTCAGTAAATATGCTGCAAACACAACAAATGACAATTTTCAGTTCTTTACAACCTATAAAGTGTTTTGAAACTTACTGTGCATAATAATTTGGAACAGTGCATTGTAAGTGTTTTATGTATAACAAAAATCCTGTTATCATTAGGAGGTTTTTTCAATAAAATGTGAATTGTACTCTTAATAGTTGATAACATGAGAATTATGCTGACTGTTATTTACATCAATTATTTAGGTAAATGAGAAAAATATAATTTGCATAATAATTTGGAACAGGGTGTAGTGTTTAAATTTGTATCAATTGATTGTGGGCCAAAGCAATTTATATACACATCAATACATCGCCGCTCACCAAAATTCATCTCTTACCTGGTATCATTTTCTTCAGTTGGCAGTCATCTTTCATCTAAAAGCATTCTTAGTGGCTGATTAGCTGCTGGATCATTTTTACAAGCAGTGGTAAGTAATGTCAATGTTACATCTTGGTGTGACCAGATGCTTTAAGGGCAGAGGAGAGATCTAGAGTCTAATAGACCCCAGATTTCTTAGAAAAGAATGCCCGTCACTGCCTATTGCTATCACAGGTTATTTACATTACCTGTGATAACAATAAAAGTGATAAAAAAAAAAAATCTAAATTAAAAAAAAAAAAATCTAAATTAAGAAAAAAATCACCCCGCCCCCTTTCTCGTGCTCATGCGCAAAGGTTAATGCAAGCATTGGTCCCGTGTTCATATCTAACAGAGATTGCACAATGCATGTGTGTGTGTTTTTGTACACTGAAGTTCTAAAAGTGTATTTTTCCCCCAAAAATTGCATTTGAAAAATCGCTGCACAAATACTGTGTGATATAAAAAATTTCAACACCTACCATCATTTTATTCTCTAGGGCCTCTGCTTAAGAAATGTTTTATATATATATATATATATATATATATATATATATATATATATATATATATATATAATGTTTGGGGGTTCAAAGTAATTTTCTAGGCAAAACAACTGTGTTTTCATGTAGACAAAACGTTTTGTCTTCAAGTGGTTTAAAGAGTGGGTGCTGTGTGGCATAAACTTTTAATTTTGGCCCTGAGATGCCAAGATAGTAGAAGCAAACCCCCCCAAATGACCCCTTTTTGGAAAATATACACCCCAAGGTATTTGGGTATTTGCTAAGGGGCATGGTGAGTATTTTGCAAATTTCATTTGTTGCCAAATGTTTTTGGAAAATGAAGAAAGAAAACGAAAATGTTTTTTTTTTTTTTTCCTTGTTTCTTTTTCAAAACCCTGTGACAAAAATGATATCTGCAAAATACTCACCGTGCCTCTTATCAAATTCCTTGGGGTGTCTACTTTTCCAAAAAGGGGTCATTTGGGGGGGAAGGGTGTGTGTACTATCCTAGCATTTTAGGGCCTCTGAAACTGTGATAGGTAGTGAGGAAGTGACATGAGGAAATATGCCCTTTGAAAGCCTGAAGGTGGTCGTTGGATATTTGGGCGCCTATATGTGGCTAGTCTCTTACATGTGGTATCCCCATACTTGGGAGAAGTAGCAGAATGTGTTTTGGGGTGTTATTCCACCTATAGCCATGGCATGCATGAGCAATATATCATTTAAGTGACAACTTTGTGTAAAAAAAAAAAAAAAAAGTTTGTCTTTTTTCAAAATGTGGCAAAAAAAAAAATCAAATACCACCAAAAAGCCCTATTTGTGTGAAAAAAGTACATAAATTTAATTCAGTGTTGCATGACCGCGCAATTGTCAGTTGAAATAGCGCAGTCCCGAATAGCAAAAAATGGCCTGATCATGAAGGGGGGGTAAATCTTCTGGAGGGCAAATGGTTAATATTATTATACAGGATTTATATAGTGCCAACAGTTTGCACAGTGCTTTACAATGTGAGGGCAAACACTACAGTTACAATAAAATTGAATACAGGAGGAATCAGGGGCCCTGCTCGTTAGAGCTTACAATCTAAAAGGGGAGGGTCAAGTGATACAAAAGTAATAACTGCTGGGGATGAGCTGATGGAGAAAATACATGTACTGTATAGTTGTTAGGTGAAGGCAGGATAGGCTTCTCTGAAGAAAAGGGTTTTCAGGGATTGCCTAAAAGTGGACAGATTAGGAGATAGTCTGATAGATTGGGGTAAGGAAATCCATAGGAAGGGAGTGACTCAGGAGAAGTCCTGCAGGCGAGCATGGTAGGAGGTTACAAGGGAACTAAAGAGCAGGAGGTTTTGGGAGGAATGAAGAGAGTGATTTGGTTGGAATTTTGAGACTAGGTTAGTTGTGTAGCTGCAGGATGGCTTTGTAAGTTGTTAGTACTTTGAATTTAATTTGTTGGATGAGTGGCAGCCATGTAGCACTTTATCCCATTCCAGTTAGTGCAGTAGATCCAGAGCTAGTGTGGTGAACAGCGACCATACACCCACCACCACCATTCAACCATGCTGCTCTGAAAGTGATGAATAATTATTCAGAGCTGATTGACAGCGCTGGTTTAGGGCACTAGGCGTTTGCCAGCCCCATCACCGCACAAGCAGAAGGTTCCACAACAGTCACACTCAGTAAAAAGTTATGGGGAGGGTGTTTCAGTGCTGTCCCTTCTTTCTGCATTGAGACTAATACACAGAAGACAGTGCTGCTACACTGACAATAAAAGGAACACCCACAAATTGGGCTTCTTTGAGGGGAAAAGCTGACAAACTGGATTGGAGTAAGTAAAGAAGGCATTTTCTTCAGTCATTCAGCATTTTTTTTGAGGAATCAAGAACAGTTATTTCTTAATGAATCTGTAGACCAGCATTTATTTTTTTCAAAACAAGTAGTTTAACTAGTAGAATAGCGCAACATACCAGAAAGCATAAGGCCAGCATAAATATTCTAAATAAAGTATTAAAAAGTTAATAAATTTAAACCTTTCCAAAAATGTGAGCTAAAGTTTAAAGTGTTACTAAACCCAGGATCCTGCATTCACTATATCTGGTCTCACACAGTACACACATTATGGAAATGCAATTATTTTAGTAAATATAAACTGCTAAATTCCTTTTCTCATCAGCAGTTAGAGCAGTCTTGTGACTTATATCAGTTTCCAGCCGAGCACTGGTTAAGGAGTTTTCTTTGTGATCTAGGAGGATGCAGAACCCCTGTCCTCTGTCTGGACAGTGCTGATTGGCCCTGTGCTGATCACAGGCACTCTCTCAAGAACAAAAAAAACCTCTCTAGCAATACACACCAAACTGAGTATCTGCAGAGTGACTCCAAACCTCTGTTCTATCAGGAGATATTTAGGGGACAATGGAAGAAGGAGAGGATCAGAGAAGAGAGGATCAAACAGCCTTTTTACACAATGTGGAGAATTACTCCCTGAATTTCCATGGTGATTATAACAAGCATGCTTTACTGCCTATACAGACTGAGTTTACTGTTGTAGGTTTAGTAACACTTTAATTGATGCTATCCTGAATTTCCTACTCTGCTATGGCCAATCCCAAATCTGTGCTGCAAAAGAATTCATTCAGATTTAAAAAAATATATATATATGATTTAGATAGAAAATGTTGCCTGGTGTGCTTATTGTAGTGAAATGTTCTAGTAGTAGTACAGTCATGGTCGTATAAGAACAGTGGTAGCAGTGGAAAGGTCATCCTTTGTGCGGGGTCATGCCTCTGATCTAGATTCAAGAGTTTAAAGTGTTACTAAACCCAGGACCCTGCATTCACTATATCTGGTCTCCCAGGACCCTGCATTCACTATATCTGGTCTCCCCGGACCCTGCAGTCACTATATCTGGTCTCCCAGGACCCTGCATTCACTATATCTGGTCTCCCCGGACCCTGCATTCACTATATCTGGTCTCCCAGGACCCTGCATTCACTATATCTGGTCTCCCACAGTACACACAACATGGAAATGCAATTATTTTTAGTAAATATAAACTGCTAAATACCTTTTCTCATCAGCAGGTAGAGCAGTCTTGTGACTTCTATCAGTTTCCAGCTGAGCACTGGTTAAGGCTTATAGGAGGAGTTTTCTTTGTGATCTAGGCAGATGCAGAACCCCTGACCTCTGTCTAGACAGTGCTGATTGGCCCTGTTCTGATCACAGGCACTCTCCCAAGAAATAAAAAAAAAACTCTAGCAATACACACAAAACTGGGCATGTGTAGTGTCTCCACACGATATGTTTTATCTAGTGGTGCACCAAAATAAAAATAATGGTGCTGAAACCGATACCGAAAATTCAAAATTAATGTGGCTGAAAACCGAACCGAAACCGAAATGTCTTCATATATGGGGGTGGGGAGGCTCCAATTTTTTTTTATACTTTCATGTATATTTTTATTTATTTTTTTTTAACTTATGATTTTATTGCTATCACATAGGGGACCAATAGTCCCCTATGTGACAGCATATGAATGACAGGCCTTCTTTGTAGGGGGTAGGGGGGGCAGTGTTTGCAAGGAGGGGGCAGGAGAGGAGCAGTGTATACAGTGAGGGAGTAGTGTATACAGAGAGGCTCCCTCACTGGCTGTCACTATGGTGATGGTTTTTAACCCCTCTGCGCCGGCTCCTCCCAGCCTTTTAAGAGTTTCATAAGCCGGGAGGTGGTCACATGATCAAAAAAAAGGTCCCGATAACAAGGGGAGATCGGGACCTTTCCGTGAGTCATGGACATATGTGCTGGGAGCGCACGGGGCGCGTGATCTCAGCACATATATATTTTCTAATGGCACGCAAATATGCAGCCGTTCGGTGTAAAGGCCCAGACGCAGAGAGGCTGCATATTTGCGTGCGCTCTGTGTCTAGGGGTTAAATGCAATTGCCGGATTGTGGTTTTTTTTTTTTTTTTTTTCTTTTTCACCACTATAGCTCAATGAGCTTTCACTTTATCAAGAGCTGTAGGAAACGTTTTTTTTTTTAGCTCGGGAAAGAAACTAAAAGGAAACTTTTTTGTTTCTTTTAGCTGGGGGGAGAGTGACAGCTCATTTTGTGAGCTATAGTGAAAAAAAAAAAGCTGGTAATTACATTTAAAAACCGGCACTGACATATAGTGACAGCCAGTCCCTGTATACACTGCTCCTCTCCTGCCTCTCTCAGCTGCCCCCCCCCCCCCCCTTCCTCACATCTACAGTACACACAGTCCCCTGTATCGGCTAAATTTTCCTATCGGAAAAATGCTGATAGAGCTATTTTTCGGCTGATATGTTTCAGTGGCCTAAATTTCGGTACATACCTAGTCCTATTAGGAGATCAGAGGGGGACACTGGAAGAAGGGAAGGATCAGAAAAGACATAATTTTTACACAATGTAGAGGATTAACCCCTTAGGTTCCACAGTGAGTATAACAAGCACGCTTTACTGCACATACAGACTGATTTTACTGTTGTGGGGTTAGTAACACTTTAACTGAAATGATAGCTTCCCTTTAAGCAGTATTGGTTGTTGAGAAATATTTTCTTGGTTCACTCAATCAGTCCTCCTGGATTGTAGTTGTGATCACTGCACTTATTTATTTATTTATTTTTTGTTGTCAGGATGATGATGAGGAGTCAGATGATCAGGAACATTTGAAATACATGGCTCCATCAGACGGTGCACTTGCTAGAGCGGAGCAGGGCAGGCTGGAATTTGCTTCTATGTTTGATACCATCCATGCTGGTGACCACAGCATGGTAAAGAGCAACTTGCTTCGTGAACTGCTGCAGATCAGGAAAACTTTATTAACTGCATGGACCACCGGAGTGACCATGAGAAATATAGCAGAATTAGACCGTCTGTTACAGTACACTGTGGGGTGCTTGACTCATTTCCTGTCTCTTCTTCAGAGTCCGAAGTGCCCAACATTACCATTGGATAAACCCGCTAAGGCTTCAGGAAGAAGAGATGCACTCTGGGCTTCTTACTTTGGTGTTCTACAGCAGTGCCTTACTGCTCTGTACTGGGATGTATTGCCACGGCAAGCCTTTGGACACATGCTAAAACTGTCTGCAGAGGTCGTGAAGTTGATCCTTGTTCAGCATGGTCAGCTTTACTCAAAGAGTCTGGTGGAAGGTTTTCATTGGTTAAAGATGGTTTCCCACAACCTTTCCACAATTTACGGCTTACGTTTCGCATCTGTCCCTGCTGGTTTTTCTAAGGGAGATGTACAATATCTTGATATTGTGAAGACTCCTGTATTTGAAGCACTAATACAGTCCTTCAAAGGCTCATCGGTATGCCGTGTTTTCAAGGAACCTCCAAATTCAATGACTTGCAGCAGAACGTCAGAGAAAAAGGTACTGGAAATGCAACAGAGCTTTTGGTGTGCATCTGTTAATTCCAAGACAAAGCTTCTAGTGTAAAAAGTCTGGCATCTGGAGACATGTTCCCTGCAATAGACTGCCTTTGATATAATTCCAAGCTCTGAGCAGGTATCTGGGGCAGTAAGCCAGTCATAGAGGCAGGGAAGTGAGGATTCTGAGTACAATGTAACTACTTTTTACACAGAAGAGAAGCTATGGTTAGTGTTTAGGTTTATAGAAAATCAGTACCAATAAAGATTCATTCATACAAAAAAAATGGATGGATGAGGGATTAGTTACTCTTCAAGCTCATTTAGCTGTGTAACTAATTGAGCTTCAACAAATTTTCAGCACAAATATATATATATATATATATATATATATATATATATATATATATAAGTGCTAATATACTAAATAACACAAATAAATAAAAATACTACTGTCCAAAAATTATATTGTCCAAATATATATATATATATATTTAGATGATACACTTTTTGGGGTGAAAAGTATTTAGGTGCAATTGGGGAATTATTTAAAGGGTACACCGTTCATTTTTTGTTATTAAATTTTCAGCACAGCAGTTAAGGTTAGCCCTTTACACATATTACAATAAACCTAGAAGCTCTCATTGCTGGGTAGAAATAGTAAATATGAAATACTTATATGCAGTAATTCATACTTGCCTTCAAAATATTTTGCCATTTTTACTTTTAAACATAAACAATTACTATTTTACATCCATTTTAAATAACATAACAAATAAAGAGATTCAGAAAAGGTGTATACTGCTTGAAGTGTAAAAACTGTACATTTAGGGGAATTTAGTCATACATATCTTAACTATAGCTTTGAATGTGAACTTTTTTGTTATTGTGCTTTGCAGACTGGCTGTGGTGTGGAGACTCTTGTATAATCAGACCCTTTGGTACCAGACACGTTTGAGAAATCAGATATCTTTGAACCCATCCATACAATTGTCACCTGGAGTTCGAAGTGAGGAAAAGGCCATTGTGTCACTTATATGTCACATACAAGCTGAGCTGCAGTCTGCAAACCAACATCTGAGCCAAAGCGTGTGTCTTCTCCCTGTAACTGGTAAAGCAGTGTTTTTCTTTTTATATGTGCTTGTGAGTATGTTTGTTGTTTTTTTTTTTTTCTCGCTTTACTTGTTTTCTATATTCAAACATAATATATGGCCAAAACTTTGCAGATACCTATCACACCTACTATAGCTTAGGCTAGGTTCACACTAACCTGCAAGGTGAAATACAACATTTTGCTGTGCAGGCTATTTCAGTGTTGATTCCAGAAAAGAGCTGTCTGATGCGTGTTTCATCACATTGCACAACTTCCTTCCCCTCCCAATCCTAATCCTATATGAACAATTCATTCACGTCTGCGATTATGTACGAGAACCCCAGCGCCCACTTGCATATAGTCTCTCATGGTGCGACCACATGCAAGTGATTGGCCCCTAACCAGTGGTGTATTTTGCTTGGTGCTCTAGGCAAGAGTAAAATCGGGCGCCCCCCATGAGGGGAGGAGAGAGATTTTTCAGCATTGACCTTCAGAATGACACTCGCTGGCCACCCTGGGAGCCATGATCAGGAGAGAGAGAGTGGTTTTTCAGCACTCACCTTTGAAATGACACCCACCAGCCACCTCTGGAGCCATGAGGGAGGAAAGCCAGACATCTTTCTTCTGATCAGGAACAAGAGTGGGACACCCTCCAGCAGTCCGTAGCAGCCTGCACTGCTGTGCCTCACCTACTCCTCATCCTCAGTCACCGACTGCCACCCGTGTCACTCCTGCCAGGGGGCCACACCGCCCCTCCTGAAAAATGCTGCCCTAGGCAAATGCCTTGTTTGCCTTGTGGTAAATACGCTCCTGCCCTGAACACAGGCAGGGTGCATTTTCTAGTGTGAATGCATCCTTAGCGTTCTTGGGATCTTTATCTGCTCAAAAGCGATGTATAGTTGTATGCATTAGATAGGGATGCACCGATATATTGTGTTATCTACATTTTACCAAGAGGGAAAAAGGTGCTGATAATGGCCGCCGAAAACGCGTGATTTTGTTGTGATTTTACCAATTTTGCCATGGTTTTACCATGTTTAGGGTGCATTCTTCATAGATCATGTGACTAAAAAAAAAGTGCGTCAAAACGCAACACGATTTTTATGGGTTTTTTCAGTGCATTTCAGGCCTGGTTCACACCAGTGCAGTTTGCATTTTGGCTGTTTTGCAGTGCATATTGTGTTTTTGCATGTGTGTTTTGGAGGCATTTTTTATACATTTTGTGGGGGGTTTTTTTTGCACTTCATGCGTTTTTTGTAAAGTCTCCACTTAAGTCTTTTGAACCAAAAATGCAACATTTTGTGTTTAAAAAAGTCCCTGACCCTTTCCGAAAACGCAAAAAAGCTGCAAAAAACTGCTCAGTGTGAAAGCTTATTAGCCGAAAAGGTGCTGAAAATAAATTCATATTCATTTACATTCATCATATTAATTAAAAAGTCAAATATAATATAATTGTATATTAAAATATATATATATATTTTTTAAACTGTCTGTTTCATTTGCGGTCAAATGCATCCTGAATTTTCGGTTTCAATCCAAGAATTTTCATTTTTATGCACCATTAATTTACATGTTTCAATAATGTTTAAATCAATATAAAAACTGAATATTTTTTTTTTTAAGGAGAAGAGTATTTCTTGTTTGGGTCATATAAGGAGTCGATAGAGTTCTGGAAGGGAGCATTACTGAAAGCCAGTCTTCAAGGTAAATTGTATTGCTTCTGCACATGAAAATGTACCATTTTCCTGGATGTGATGCTTTCAATTTTGTGTGTATTTGAACCTAGTACCTGCCTGCAGAATTACTTTAAGGATACTACAGTAGTAGTGGCAGACATAGATACTACAGTAGTAGTGGCAGACATAGATGAGTTCCTACAGTTACACATACTCAACTGCCCATTTTGTCTCTGTGCTCTACCACTTTTCCCCATTAATTCTATTCACTAGCAGTGCCAACATCACTTGTGATTTCACACAGAACAGTTGACCCAGTCTAATGGCCCAATCTGTAAGGCCTGGTTCACATCTATGTGGGTGGTTGTGGCTACAGGAACCTCAGTGATACCTGCTTGAAAACTCGTAGGACTCCCGTGCATCTAAAAATGCAGCATGTTTGCAGGTGCAGGAACTGCATGGAAATCGCATGGTGCAAAAGATTTCCTGGCCGCTAAGCTTTTAGAATGGTACAGGAACCTTTTTCCTGTGGGAAACACAGGCATGGCAACTATTCAAATGAATGGGCTGCCATGCCCACACAAACCCGCATAGATGTGAACAAGGCTTAAACCCCAAGTAGAGTTGTGTAGGGTTAGAACCTCTTTTAAGTGGAACTTTAGGCTAGTATTTGAAAATTGGCAGACAGGCAGGATTTTTAATGCAGAAGAGACATGCTTTGTCTCTTCTGCTTTAAAGCTTCTTACCAGCCTGTCCATCCTTGTACAGTAGGCTGCACAAGCTCAGCTCACTGCACAAATTCAGCAATGCCGAATCTGATCGAGCTCTCTCACATGCATGGGAGCAACGTCATCTCTGCACAGCCAATGACAGCAGCCGACGCTCGAGACCCAGAAGCTGGCCTCCGGAAGAAGTCAGTGGTGGGCGGGGAGTTCCAGAGACTCTCATCACCGGATGTAAGGTGAGTATAGTTCCTCTTTAAGGTTTTATAGTTGTCTGTATTCCTCTTGGAAGTTTTCATTCAGTTCCTTTGTGTTTATCAAGATGGGAAGTGATTTTTTAGTAAGAAGCCACCAAAGTTTTATATACAGTCAGGTCCATAAATATTGGGACATCGACACAATTCTAACATTTTTGGCTCTATACACCACCACAATGGATTTGAAATGAAACAAACAAGATGTGATTTAATTGCAGACTGTCAGCTTTAATTTGAGGGTATTTACATCCAAATCAGGTGAACGGTGTAGGAATTACAACAGTTTGCATATGTGCCTCCCACTTCTTAAGGGACCAAAAGTAATGGGACAGAATAATAATCATAAATCAAATTTTCACTTTTTAATACTTGGTTGCAAATCCTTTCCAGTCAATTACAGCCTGAAGTCTGGAATGCATGGACATCACCAGACGTTGGGTTTCATCCCTGGTGATGCTCTGCCAGGCCTCTACTGCAACTGTCTTCAGTTCCTGCTTGTTCTTGGGGCATTTTCCCTTCAGTTTTGTCTTCAGCAAGTGAAATGCATGCTCAATCGGATTCAGGTCAGGTGATTGACTTGGCCATTGCATAACATTCCACTTCTTTCC